CGTCAATGGAAATAATGAGAGCTTCGAGCGCTAAATGCCGGTTGCAAAATTTGAATAAATAGGTTCATGTCGTGCGCAATTTTTAGGCATGCGCAAAAGGAAAATTAAGTGGTGAAAAAATGAAGATAGAGTGCTTGTCTCGGGCTTATGGGCTAGAAATTAGGTTCTAAGGCCCCATTTATACGGTCTCGGGTACCCGAGACACCGCTCCTCCCGAGTTACCCTGACCGAAGTAACATTTCTTAACAAAATTCAATCAACCGTTTACATAAGGATCGCGAACCCGTCTAGCTCAGGGGGTCGAGACAACTGAGTGGGTGAATAGTCTCGTCTCGGTAGGTAGGGTACGCCCGGCAGTCGGGACAACTTTTCGTCATGTAAACGCTTTGGCTCGCCCAACCGGAAGAACTTTCGGCGTGGCGAGTGTCGCTTGCTGCCTAAGTTTAGGATTTAAAGCAGAAATTTGTAGGAAAGAGGTGAAAATGAAATTGGCAAAACCCACTGAGATCGAATGACCAGGGGAAACTCAAAGAAAGAGGGACATTTGCACATTTGATTATTCGATGAGGGATATCAATAATCAAGCAGGGTCAACTTTGACTCGGCCCTCAGGGACTACGTTTTCACATATGAACGCTCCATAAAGTTTCCTCGGGGGGAGCGTTGTCTCGGGTATCTGAGACCATATAAATGGGGCCTAAAAGATTACATAAAAGCCCTCGAACTTCGTTCACTGGCTAATAACTTTTTTTAACACATTGATCTCTGCTGGCAACAATCAGTCTATAGGTCCTCGACAAATAAATACAATATGAAGTCATAGATTAGTACTGTAAAGCTCACATGTTTTGCGCGACACAGGAGCTCCGTTATTTTTCTCAAATATGTAAAGGATATTACACGGTGGCGAGAAGATATGAATTTTATGTTGTCGTGGTAAGAACAATATCTCACTCGTTCGCTGCGCTCACTTGTGAGATATTGTTCTTGCCACGAGAACATAAAATT